TGAAGTAGTAGCAAACATGTTGATACTGAAAAATAGTAGTGGCAGTAGTCGTCGTCGTCGTCGTCGTCGTCGTCGTCGTCGTCGTCGTAGTAATGGTAGTGGTTTTCGTGGTAGTAGTCCAGTACTAGTACTAGTACTAGTACTAGTACTAGTACTGGTAGTAGTAGTAGTAGTAGTAGTAGCAGCAGCAGCAGTAGTAGTAGTAGTAGTAATAGTAGGAATAGTCATGATAATAATACCCATGGACCAACTCAACTCATCCACAGCACCTAGTTGCCTGTTTAAGGTTTAGGTTTAGGGCCTGAGTAGGACATTCAGGTGGACCACCTTCCCGCAGACTTACACCCTGACCCCCCCCCATCTCCATTGATTCCAGTTTGATCTCTCGACAAGCCTCGGGCTTCTCCAGGTCTGATATGAACGCAGTTCCTTTCTGGGCGGTATACTATAACCCCCGAGTGACAAAGTCCAAAAAGTAACTACACAGAAGCTCTGGCTAAGCATTCACTAATTTAGGAAGAATCTGCAGTCCACATGGTTTGCAGAGGAGCTGCCGATTCGGCCGCTGGTCCAGGAAGAAGCCTGTCTTATGGCCGTGCCAGACGTCCACCTGGAAGAAAAGCATCCATTGCATCAGAATTTCCGGCACAACATCTTTTAGTAAGCAGACACAACCTTGAGAACACTGCACAGCTGCTTAGGACCGGATCATCCTGGGGGTGCAGAGTTTTGCCATAACAGGTCCAGGCAAACAACCACTTCCTCGCCATCGCGCCTCGTAGAGGACGCCGTTTTCCTCAAACTGAGATGCTTCTTTGGCCGGCGGAGTCCCCCAAAGCGTTTCCGTGCCATCCTTGTTGATCCTTCGTGTGGCGGACAATGTACAATGTGTAATACACGGCAAGGTAAATGGTAAAGTCATTCATGCACGAAGTCGGCAACTCTCTGCAATGATGTGAATGTGCGCCTGTTACCGACACAGCATGGAACTGCCACAAAATGAAGTCAGCCTCTTGAACACATACATGCTGAAATCATCCAAAGTGCACGCTGGACAGATGGTATCCTTGCACGTGGGCACAACAAAGCAGGGGTCTAGCCGAGCTGGATTTGGGCCACCCTGGTTCTATCAGTGCAGGGACGTTGCCAACTCATGAGACCATGTTGGCCTGCAACCCGCATTGGAAGCTGAGGCTCCACCGTCTGCGAAGGCTTTGATTATGGCCGGTAACCTCTGGATGCGCGCTGGTTCTAGCTTGCATGGTGTGGAGGCAGTTACGGGTGCAGCGCTAGCATGAGGCTGCTAAGAGAAAGGTATGATTCATGCAAAGGTCGACCTGGGCAGGGCAGCAGTGATTCTTCAAATGGTGACCCCGAGGCGACCTCAAGCATATGCTCCATATAGTGTCCATCACCAAAACAGCCCTTAATCATTGAACACCTGATCAGAAATTGTTCATCTTTGTCAGCTGTGCTGTCACCGGAGGGCAACTATAACATGGACACTCATCTTACTATTACTGTTTCAATTATACTATTACTATTACTCTTCCTTTTCTATTCTGAAGGTTGGACTGGAAACATGGCAGGCATGAACTCTAAACCAATCATTGATGGACTCACTGACAAAGGCCTACATGGGGGATTCTCAGGCTGGGGTACCCGTAAAGTAGGAGTATTCAGGATTACACGAGGGCAAAATCTGCATGGTGGGCATGTGGTCTAGTGAACGATTTATAACGATTTGTGTCCGAAGCCTCACGCTACATGGGGAGTTCTCAGAATAGTGGTACCCCAAGCTACCTTTGGGATAAGGGACTCCGGAGGACCCTGGACCCTGTACCCCTGAGGATTCTGTCGAACTTTCCCCCAATCTCAATTTCCACCTCGGCCGCCAAAAGGCGTCAGCCCCTTCGCCGTCGAAGGCGGCCACGCCGCGTTCGCCATAGGCGTCGATGACTAAGCCGGGAGTCCAATCTGCCTCCTTGCGATGAAATAAGGGTACCCCATAAAGGGTTCAATGGCGATATATAGCACGATGCCATTTTGAAAAATGCTTTAGGAATATTGGGAAATGCGGGAAGATGTGAGAACATAATATAGGGTTTGGAAGATTCTCCAAAACTTGTACACTTCGGGGCCCTAGAGAAAGTGGGATTATGAAGGGGTTCTTGGAGGGTACCGAACATGGAGCATGCAAGGGGCATATTGACAAACAGCTACATAGCGCAATGAAAACGTGAAATCATGAACGACCATAACATTCAGTACTAGCAGGGACAGAACACATTCGTTGTTTAAGCGGCATCAGAGCCCCACCTTATTCTAGGATCCCCAGCAACCCCTGAGTAATGAGGCTACCAGTTTCCTTTGGTTCAGCTTTAATAAGGAAGCCTCAAAACCAAAAGGGCAAAAAGGGTACAACTGGGGTACCTAGAAGTGAAATCCTGAACCCACTGATTCTGAAAAAGCTGTTAACTCCTCCTCCAGACCCGAAAGCTTAAACCGCAAGCCTCGTACATCCTATATCCTATAACACACCTTCTCTTCAGGTCTAGATACCCATTATTCGGGGCCGTATAGCCTACATTAAGGGTACTAGGAGGGTCCTGGATAATACAGTCACTATTCCTGCATCGCATGGCATATGGAGGCTGAAATCTGAAGAGTCTTTCCTACTATTACTTCTACTAGACTATGACTATGACTATAACGGGTTTAGGGTTTAGGGGTTTAGGGTTTAGGGTATTGGGGTTATATTGGGATAATGGAAAAGAAAATGGACACTACTATTGTTACCATTACGACTACTATTTCGTTTTCGCCGCCGCCCTAACCCCCCGTCCCCATGCAGAAGCCGCAAGCCCGTCGAATGCTCCAGCGTCGTGTCCTAAGGAAAGACCAGAAAAGCAGCCATGGAGCAGAGGGCTTCCACACTGTGTGATGGTTTACATACTGGTTCGTAGTAAGGAATATAGGAACATAATCCCTATATAGTCCCTAGTGTATGATATATCCCCTTATTGAAGAAGGGGATATATTATAAGTTTATGAGCCTTATTCCCTAATAAGAACCAGTAAATTTAGGGTGAGGGGGTTCGGGATGCGATGCTATAAGATGTGGAGCTTAGAACCTAGATTTTTGCCCTTAAACCCTAAACCGGTTTTTGCAGTCCCCGTAAACTTGGTGGTTTATCACAGCAGGGCGAACCACAAACATCTCCCGTAAGAGTTTGCGATACCCTTGCCACCAAAAATCTGAATCACTGGAGAAACCTGGGTCTAGGGTCTTGGAATTTAGGGTGAGGGCTTAGGGAGCTCAAGAACCCTACAGCCCCAACCTCACAATCATAGCGAAGGCATGTCTTGGCTGCAGGGCGCTCTTGGTGGACCACTTTTGGAAGAATATGAAGGCACCCCTACAACGTAATTTGACGGACGTTCAGTTCCTTTGCAGCAGGCCATCAAAATCCTACACCCATGGCCCACATGCCCCCCAACCCTGGACTACATGTGTATATATATATGCATATATATATATATACACATGTATATATGCTTTGTGTTCCTGCGCGCATCAAGATGGCTGTTTATGGGGGTCTTTACACAACTTGCGGGGCTCCGAATCAAGCACAATATACCACAGTGGGACTGCCAACAAGCGACCTCTAATTTCCAGAAACCCCAATGTATTGAGCACTTGTTGATGTCCCTCAAGTCCTCCCTGCGCTTCTTAGCAGCACGCCGTGCGAGGGCGGTGGCCCAAGATGGGTCGCCTGGCCCAGCATCTTGAGCTGGAGGGTCTACGTCTTACTCTTTGTAAGGTTTGGACAAGGGATCAGTTGGCGTATAGTGTTGAGGGTTGAGGATGTGTAGGGTTGGTGTAGGGGTCTTGTCGGGGATCGCATAGCAGCCTTGGGCTTATCAGGGTTCTCGTCGAAGGAAGGCGCACTCGATACTGGCACTGATGAGGGCCTCACTGGGTATGGAGGGCTCAGGATGGGTGTGGTTGGGCTTGCTGGAATGTTCCTTCATTTATCCTAGGGTCATACAGGGGCTTAGAAACATTTCATGGATTTGTGAACTACATATCTCAGAACTTGTGGTATAGCACAGTGTGGGGTTGATTTTGCACTGCTGTTCCACGCTGAGGGCTTACATATAGACCGCAACTCAATGCTTGCATTAGGGCAGCATGACAGCATCAAAGTCATGGTGAGAGGCATAAAAACTATCACACATTGAATGGGTAGAGGCGGTTGCCCAAAGGGGCACACATGCTCTTGACAACATCACTCCTTTAGGCACCACTACCAAGGGACCCACAGCCTCCAGTAACCAGTCTAGAAACGAGGCTTCATGCAGGGCAGGCCCCTTAATCCCTGAAGGCAAATGTGCTGCTGGACTGCCGGAAACACCTTTCATCCAACGTGAAAAACAAGGATTCTCATTTAAGAGTCTAAGGTCACCGATCACATTTCCACAGCAGGAGCTACATCATGACAATGAGTCATACTTGCAGCTATCATCATTCTCCTGCACATAGCCATCTGCACACGGATGATGCACAACGGTTGTTGAAAGAGGAACCAAATGTTGGAACCCCTGTTCGTGAAGACAGTCTATCATGTTAAGTCAACCTCCCTCAACAATACCGTCTATCAGTATCTCTCTCGAAAATAGTGCCGTTGGCATGTCCGAACAAAAACAGCTTCTAAAACTCCCAACAGAAGCCAAATATGAGATCCTGTAATGTTGAGAACTTCAGCTGGGGTCTACATGAGTCACCCTGCAATATGTAGTCCTTCTGGTAAGAACCCCAAATTCCCAAAGCTAATATGAAACCCCATGTGGCCCCTCTTTAAAGGACAGGGGGCCACTTTCAGGGTCCAACCTTAAGCCCTAAACCGCCCAAACATTGAACCCTTAACTCCAATAACCCTGAACCCCTTCTGAGGGTCGAAACCCGCTAAAGAACCTCAGACCCTCAACCCTAAACCTCCTCTAGACCCCTATGTGTATATAGATATACATATACAAAAGGGGAGAGAGAGAGAGAGACAGACCCTACGCCCTGAACCGTATTCAGCTTGGGGGGAGTGTAAGTCTTGGTTGCGGGAGTCTGCCTGGTAGGGGAGGCCCATCCTCAGGCCACCAAAGTAACCGGACCTGCCAAGCTTTCTGTGCTCACAGGGCCGCTTAAGAAGGTTTCTAGAAGGGTGTATATAAGGACATATCTGTGTATGTATATGAAGAAATATATATATATATATACGCATCTCTTATATGGTGTGTGTGTGTGTATAAGGACATGTCTATATGTTTTAACTCCGAGTATCCCTTAGTAACCACTACAATACTCCCTTATAAAATCCCTATATACACCCCTTTAAGGAGTTTAGACTATGGCTCATATAGGGACATATCTATTTGTATATGGACGTCTTCATATCTGAGCAGCTGTCTAAAGTTTATGGCTGCCTACTGGTCGTAACATGTGGGGCATCGCTTTTCAAGGTTTCCCATGTCCAAGCCTTACATAATCTCCTTGACACAAGTCTTGACGACTGCTCATATGTGCATACATGGATAGACTCAAAAAATAGGCCCTGGCGCATAATCTGAGCCATAGTCTCAACTCCGAGTATCCCCGGTAATAACCCCAATGATAGATAGTCCCCTACATAATCCCGTGTATAACTTGCCTACTAGTACCCATGGAGCTCTTAAGTCTTAGAAGCTTCCTGTAATCCCTGTGCGTTGCAACTTAAAGGCAAAATTCTAATCATTCCAGCCACTAAGCCCCTCAAACCTAAAGACAAATCCAAGGGGCCCGCAGCGGCGATTTTGGGTCATGGAAGCCATACGCCAGCGTCTGCTTCTTCCAGCAAACAGCCACAATTTCGCCAGAGGGGATCCTAAGTTGCCATGTCTGTTTCCTTACTGGGATGTTTTGAGATGTACCTTCCTCACAGCAAAGCAATGCCCAACACCGATCCAGATGTGGGGATATTAAGCCGTATTTGGGGGGATGTACATGTTGTTTTTTTAAGGCTTGTCATGCAGCATGAACGAAGACATGGTTAACATTGCGTCATGTCCAGGTAAAAGATGCTGCGTGTTCTCCGGAGCATGTTCCATTGTCTGCAGGCCATACCGAAAAATGTATGCGAGGTATACAAGGGAGATTCGGGTTGAATAGGCAGAGGCCCTTTCAAGCTGTCCTAGTCCAAAGACTGTTGTCTTTGCATACTCAGGCGGCATGCATCAGTTTCTCTTGCCTTGTTCAAAATGTCTGTAGCATTGGTCTTCCGGTCCTCCCCTACTCCCCCGAGCCCCAACCCAAGACCTGAACCCCAAATCCCACCGAGCATCTCTGGCTGATTGCGCAGTGCCCTGTCGAAAAGCCAGGGGTGCTTGGTCTTGGTCACGGACTTGCGCAAGTCCTCCGCAAGTGGTGAATGCTCTTTGCCGAAGGAGATGTAACATTGCGGGTCCAAGAACTACATCCAGGAATGACCCCGTACACCATAAACATCATAACCTCAGCTCAATTGTTGCATGTTCTTTCCCATTCCATTCTTCATGCTAGATTACTCCTCATCAATGACCTACAGCATCCCACAGCTTCAGAGGCTTTACCTACTAGCTAGGGATATTCGCTACTCAACGATAGGGATTTGGGGTACCCTAAACGCTAAATAAAGCCTAAACCCCACATCTCGAAGGCCTCAGTCCCTAAACCCTCATCCCCACGTTCCTTATATCCCCCCATAAAAGGCCTTACTTCAGCCTGTGAACTCTAAGAGCAAGGCCCCTAGACCCCTACTCCCTGAACCGTAAGCCCTACACCCATAAACCCCTCAATCCTTACACCGATAATTCCCCAAACTCCTACATCCCTAAACTCCTCAACCCGCAAAATCCTACATCCTTAAGCTCCTAAACCAACAAACTCGTAAATTCCTGAACTCCTAAATCTCCAAACTCCTAAACCCTTAAAGAGCAAGACCCTGCTCTGGCCTTTGCCAGCCAGATTCGCTGCGGAGTGACGCTTCCAGGGCCAGGTGGATAAACCGAGGCCCATACAAGTGCCTCAGTTGGGTTACATGGGCGGGGGGGGGGGGGTGGGTTAGGGTTAGGGGTTTTTAGACTTCAGGATTTAAGGTTTACGGTTTTTAGTGTTTAGGGTTTAGATTGTTTCTTGGTTTTGTGTTTTTTGAGTTTAGGGTTTAGTTGTTTGAGGGTTTGGGTTGTTTCTTAGGGTTTAGTGTCTAGGGTAGGGTTAGACGAGTGCCATAGATAAAGGGGTTAAACAAGACTCTTTTCGGGGCTAGAAAGGAACTTCAGAAGGGGCGCATACGGGAAGACATGTGCATGTATGTATGTATGTATGTATGTATGTATGTATGTATACACATCGATGATTTTGGTACCCACAATTTCGTAATGGAGAGCCAATTGGGAAAACATGGAAACAACATGGAAACTGGATATGCCTAAAGGTCGGTTTAGGGACACTGTGTGGGAGCTTTTGTGAGGTTCTGAAACTATTTATTCTTCAGGCTCCTAAATTTAATGCCATGGATGGGCAATAGTTGTGGCACTAGACTAAATTGTTTTTTCCTGTTGATAGCGCTTAGGGTGGCGCAGTTATGGTTCAGTGCTTAGGCACTTGGTTGGGCTTGGGGTCTGGGATTCAGGCTTTAGGACTTTCGGATTTACTAGTGGAAGGGGTTGGCAGGGTTGTGGGGGGTGAAGGTGTACGGCAAAGCAGGTAACTGTCGGTAGTAAGTACTGAGCTCACATGCTTCCACAAAGGTATGCGCCAAAATCAAGGCCCTCTTTGGCCCACCCCCCTGGCTGAGGCGCCTGAACCTTTGTTAGAAT